ACTTCTTATCCTTCCAGAAAATGCAAGAGAAAAAGAGACACAATAAAAGTTTTGGGGAAAAAAGAAGTTGAATATGGCAAAGCCGGTTAGACAACTTCTTATCCTTCTAGAAAATGCAAGAGAAAAAGAAACACAATAAAAGTTCTAGGGAAACAAGAAGTTGAATCTGGCAAAGCCGGTTAGACAACTTCTTATCCTTCTAGAAAATGCAAGAGAAAAAGAAACACAATAAAAGTTCTGGGGAAACAAGAAGTTGAATCTAGCAAAGCCGATTAGACAACTTCTTATCCTTCCCGAAAAATGCAACAGAAGAAGAATATCATTCTAAGTCCATAAAGAGAATCAAAATTCTCGAAATATTCAAGATTTCAGATCATACAAAAAACACAAGACTTAAGGTTAGCTCCCCTTACCCGATTCTCGCTCCTTCCTGGATGAAGAACACCTCTTTAGAAGCTCTTGCTACCTTCTCTACAACTCATATTCTAGTCCTAATATCTCCTTATTTTCGATGAAAGTCTTGCTCAATTTTACTCTCCTTCCCCCAAAACTTCATTTCTCACCCCTATTTATAGTTGAAGTTGGGGTTACTATAGCAGTACTGTAGCAGTACTGTAGCTGTACTACATTTTACTGTAGCAGTATTGTACCTGTACTACAATTCACTATAGCAGTATTGTAGCTTGTACTACATTTTCCTGTAGCAGTACTGTAGCAACACATGATTCACGAGGTATTCTTACTATAGCACTATACATATTTCACTGTAGCACTATACGTATTTTACTGTGAGATTTTACTGTAACATTATACATAAAATTATTTTTTTTATTTCAAAAAAATCTAGTATCTTAATTACAACTATTTTCAAGGGTCTTCCATTTAGACTCTTTTGTAGGGGTTAGACGGTTTACAATAAATGTTAAACACTTAAATAATATGAACAACGTTTAGGAAAACTTTTGAAAATGAAAGACAAGCTTGCTTTATACGAGTTCGCTCACGACTTGAGTTACGTCCAGTTCTCCCTTAAACACTTTTAAAGAGTTTCTCTAATCTCAAAAGATTATACATGAGTTTAACCACTCCTGGTATTACAACTAATCCAACTGGTTAGGACGAGTATCACCACTCCTAGTGTACACCAGTCTCACTGACTAGACTATTTAATTCCATTGAGTTAAATTTACAAGTATTTATATTCACTTTTGAATCTAAGAACAACAAAGTGTTTTTCAAGATACAAGATTAGAAAGATAACTCTCTAAGAAAGAATATAAAATTATACAAAGAGATTATGAAAACTTGTAAAGAACTTTTCCTTTTTCAAAGAACAAGTGCTACACAATGTAAGCTTAGAGAAAATAGTAGCGTGAGATAATGCAAAGGAATAATTCTGGATATTCTTCTCTTCATGTAGTCCTCTTTATATAGGTTTCTTCGAAAAAGATTTGTTACTCCGAGCTCTGACTTTCAGATAGGGATATAACCTTCTGTACGAAGTCAGAAGTTATGTTGCGTCTTGCAAAGGCAACTGTGTTGTGTGTACAGAGGGTATGAAGGAAACATTTTTAGAATATCTTTTGGTCTATAAACGTTCTTCTAATTCTATTGCATGGCTTTTGTATAAATGTATTGTACTAAGATGATCTGTAAAGAAAAAGAAAGTACAACACAACAGACAAGAAAGTACTACCATGTGGTATATATTCCTATGCGTTTACGCATAATACGAGAGTAAGCGTTTAGGTATGGTCTCTTTGGTAACACTTAGCATTTAGGATAAGTTTTATGTATAGCTTTTANAAAATGGAAAAACATGATCAAAATTTTAAATTTCACAATTTGATTGAATATTTACTCCAACAATTTTATAGTTTACTTATTCAACATAATAAAATGTATTCATCACGTATTCCATACAAAATGAATATATCACAAAATAAATTAACAATAATAAAATATCACAATATAAACGTTATGGGGAACTAAGAAGTTGAATCTAACATAGTCGGTTAGACATCTTCTTATCCTTCTAGAAAAATGCAAGAGAAAAAGAAACAAAATAAAAGTTTTGGGGAAACAAGAAGTTGAATCTGGCAAAGCCGGTTAGACAACTTCTTATCCTTCCAGAAAAATGCAAGAGAAAAAGAAACACAATAAAAGTTCTGGGGAAATGAGAAGTTGAATCTGGCAAAGCCGGTTAGACAACTTCTTATCCTTCCAGAAAATGCAAGAGAAAAAGAGACACAATAAAAGTTTTGGGGAAAAAAGAAGTTGAATATGGCAAAGCCGGTTAGACAACTTCTTATCCTTCTAGAAAATGCAAGAGAAAAAGAAACACAATAAAAGTTCTAGGGAAACAAGAAGTTGAATCTGGCAAAGCCGGTTAGACAACTTCTTATCCTTCTAGAAAATGCAAGAGAAAAAGAAACACAATAAAAGTTCTGGGGAAACAAGAAGTTGAATCTAGCAAAGCCGATTAGACAACTTCTTATCCTTCCCGAAAAATGCAACAGAAGAAGAATATCATTCTAAGTCCATAAAGAGAATCAAAATTCTCGAAATATTCAAGATTTCAGATCATACAAAAAACACAAGACTTAAGGTTAGCTCCCCTTACCCGATTCTCGCTCCTTCCTGGATGAAGAACACCTCTTTAGAAGCTCTTGCTACCTTCTCTACAACTCATATTCTAGTCCTAATATCTCCTTATTTTCGATGAAAGTCTTGCTCAATTTTACTCTCCTTCCCCCAAAACTTCATTTCTCACCCCTATTTATAGTTGAAGTTGGGGTTACTATAGCAGTACTGTAGCAGTACTGTAGATGTACTACATTTTACTGTAGCAGTATTGTACCTGTACTACAATTCACTATAGCAGTATTGTAGCTTGTACTACATTTTCCTGTAGCAGTACTGTAGCAACACATGATTCACGAGGTATTCTTACTATAGCACTATACATATTTCACTGTAGCACTATACGTATTTTACTGTGAGATTTTACTGTAACATTATACATAAAATTATTTTTTTTATTTCAAAAAAATCTAGTATCTTAATTACAACTATTTTCAAGGGTCTTCCATTTAGACTCTTTTGTAGGGGTTAGACGGTTTACAATAAATGTTAAACACTTAAATAATATGAACAACGTTTAGGAAAACTTTTGAAAATGAAAGACAAGCTTGCTTTATACGAGTTCGCTCACGACTTGAGTTACGTCCAGTTCTCCCTTAAACACTTTTAAAGAGTTTCTCTAATCTCAAAAGATTATACATGAGTTTAACCACTCCTGGTATTACAACTAATCCAACTGGTTAGGACGAGTATCACCACTCCTAGTGTACACCAGTCTCACTGACTAGACTATTTAATTCCATTGAGTTAAATTTACAAGTATTTATATTCACTTTTGAATCTAAGAACAACAAAGTGTTTTTCAAGATACAAGATTAGAAAGATAACTCTCTAAGAAAGAATATAAAATTATACAAAGAGATTATGAAAACTTGTAAAGAACTTTTCCTTTTTCAAAGAACAAGTGCTACACAATGTAAGCTTAGAGAAAATAGTAGCGTGAGATAATGCAAAGGAATAATTCTGGATATTCTTCTCTTCATGTAGTCCTCTTTATATAGGTTTCTTCGAAAAAGATTTGTTACTCCGAGCTCTGACTTTCAGATAGGGATATAACCTTCTGTACGAAGTCAGAAGTTATGTTGCGTCTTGCAAAGGCAACTGTGTTGTGTGTACAGAGGGTATGAAGGAAACATTTTTAGAATATCTTTTGGTCTATAAACGTTCTTCTAATTCTATTGCATGGCTTTTGTATAAATGTATTGTACTAAGATGATCTGTAAAGAAAAAGAAAGTACAACACAACAGACAAGAAAGTACTACCATGTGGTATATATTCCTATGCGTTTACGCATAATACGAGAGTAAGCGTTTAGGTATGGTCTCTTTGGTAACACTTAGCATTTAGGATAAGTTTTATGTATAGCTTTTAACACTTTGCGATTTTATCCTAGATGGTTTTCGTTATTAAACATTATTTCGTTTAGAAGCTTTATTAAACTTCAAAATAAGATTTGTTTAAACGATCTTTTCTCAACATAGTATATTACAATAACCTAGGGACTATTAGCCATTTCAATAATAATTACAATTTTTTACTTTTAAACCACTACTAAAACAAGATTTGATATATCTATCTATATTCTTTGTAGACATTATACTCAATTTAGAGCAGGATGCTATTGTTACACATATTTCAATGACTAAAAAGTTAATTAGTACATTATGCTTAATCATTTCTGAGTAGCAGAAGATCATGTGCTACATTACATCTCTTAAAGACTTACTTAACACTATATATATTTGTGCGTTGCACAAATATCTAAAGATTTTAACAAAAAATAATACTGATAAAATGCATTAAGAGATATATAAGCTAAATAAGATAAACGTTTTCTTATTGAGAATTGTATTCTATTTTTAGTTGACTGATATTTAAAATAAACAATACTTACACGTTAATATTAAGATTTTATACAAATGCAACCATCCTATTTTAGTGCATGTTTGATTTCGTAGGATTCAGATGCCACATTATTTTGAATGGTTTTAATTTTTCACATGTAAAATACGAATCTGAAACTATAGATCACTAGAACAAAGGAATAAAGGGAAAGAGAAAAGGACACAAAAAGCCACACCCTTGTATGTTGTGTATGAGTTTATCTGTTTTCATCTAAAATCAATTTGTGTAAGTGTAAGAATTTAGAATGGACTACTAATTCTCTAGCTCTTTATCTTGTGACCTTGCTTAACTCAAACTAACTATTAAAGGAAGTTTTCCTTCACACATTTTAGTTTGATTCATATCTAATCTGAAGTAAGATTAAATAATGGACTTCTCTGCTTAGAAACTTGGGCCAGTATTGCTGTTGCAGTAGACTGGAAAAGAAATGCATGCACACAACTGAAGCATGTGGAAAAATCAAAGCTATTATTATCAGTACAATACAACAGTGTGAAACAGTTCAAGGACTATTTATCTGCTACGTAAATTTTGTGTAGCAGGAAACAGCTGCTGCTTCACTTGTTCAGTGTTCACACTTAAAATACATAAAGCAATACAAAGAGAAACCTCTTGGTAGATCTCTGCAACGACAACGCGACGCATAAATTTAAGAAAGCTGTTGCCAGACTTTGATCTGATGAGTTTGAAGGTTCACTAAACGTAAGGCACAGGTATTCTCTGTGTGCCAGAGCCAGTTACCATATCATCCCACAGCAAATTTGAAAGTACCATTGTTAATTCTCCAACACTTCCTGTCAAACATATATAATTGAATAAACAAAAAGAACAAAAAATGGGAGAAAGAGAAGTAAATTTTGATCACTACTAACAGTCAAGATTAAAACACAGAAAGTCTTGTAATTTTGTGAAGTAGTCAAGTGATCTTTAAGGCCCTATTTGGATACGTTTATCCGCAAACACTTCAAGGAGAAAGTAGAAAAAGAATGTTTTATAATTTCAAATTAACTAATTTGTAAACTCTCATATCAATTTCTCTAAATATTTAGTTTTTCTTGTGTACGTGTTTATAAAGAAGTTTATGACCAAAGTAGTCCTTAATATTAATCATTCATGTATTGGTTTGCTCTTCTCGTTCCCATACAACATGAATTATGTCAAAACAGCATATCGTAACAATGTTCGTGTGCTCCAACAATGAGAAGAAAGTAAGCAAGGTTAAGGCTTCAGCTCACATGCCATACAAATGCAGATTTAGATATCATTGATGGATAGGATTCATTAGGAAGAGATTATATAAATATGATCTGAACCCAATTCATATAAGAAATTGACACCATTTTTAATTCAAAATTTTAAGACAATGGATTTATGGATATTCTTTCTTATATGGTACTCAACCTTCTAATTTTATCCAATGTGAAACTTAAACTCATACTTAAATTTCTAGCAGGATAATTATTGTTAGTATGTTATTAAGTACCAACTTACCATTGCCAATCGGTTGATCATCCCACTCTATGATAGGCAACAAAGGAAGTGTGCTTCCCACATACATCATTTCAGCAGCAGCTTTAGCTTCCTCCAAAGATATTTTTTTAGTTGCTACACCTTTCAGGAGCCCTTGATCAACCAACCTGGGTGCGAGTTGAAGAAGCCTTTTTGCAGTGCAACCATGTAGGATGTTATCAAAAGGAGGCATGACAAGTTCTTTGTCTTGTGTTATGAAAGCAACATTCACATTTGGACCTTCAGCAATATAACCTTCGTCATCAACCCATACAGAAGAAGATGCTCCTTTCTCTTCAGCTTCCATCACTGAAAGGACATTTGGCAGATAATTCACATTTTTAGCTGTGGCAAATAGAGGAGGCTTCATTGGCACGTTGGAAGTAATCACTTTAACTCCCTCTTTGCATTGGGAAAAATCATGGTCAATCACTACTGCATAGAATGCAGATGTTGGACACCCTGCTGATGACAGTGAGAAATCACCGGGACCTGCACTCAGCCAAAATCTTAGAGTTCCCTTCTTGCATTTTGATGCTGCAGTCAGTTGTATGATAATGCTGCGAAGCGTTGATTGAGAAAAGGGAGAGGATATCTTTGCTTTGGAGGCTGATAGCAGGAATCTATCAAGGTGAACATCCAATTCATACAGGTATCTGCAGAGGACAAACATCACAAAGACAAAAATCAGACAACTATATGTTTCTCAATGCTATGTTACATGAACATCCAAGTATTGTAATTGAGTTGCAAAGAATAACCCAAAAAAATTAGCATTACCTACCCATCTAGAACAATGGATGTATCAAACACACCATGCCCTCTGTGTACCATGTGATCATCGAGGGGGATTACCATCATTGCTGGATCAAGTGTGATACCTCCAAAAATACTTGAATACATAGCAGGGTATGGTTGTTTCTCCACTGAACTCCATTTTTCGTGAAGCTTTTCAAGCAACTGAACACAGCAATCCAACGGAAATTGCAAAGCTTAACGCAGAATACATTACTTTATAGATTTTTGCAAAGTAAAATTTTCCCAAGTTATATTTTCTATCTTTGTCACATCACAAGTCAACATGAGATCTTGATAGTATGTTCAACTATAATGCAAATCCTGGTGAATTGAAAAGCGGATTCAGAAAATAAAAAATTTGATCCTCCCCACTTCCTCCCCACTTTCTCCCTTATCTGGTTTGCCAACTCCAATGGTGAAACAACAGGTTTTGGGTTCTTCCACACACACAGATTAATCAATTTAACTCCATAATAATCTATTCATTTATAGAATAATCTGAAGAAATTAAGATGGCACAGACAGAAAAGCTTAAAAATCTCACCTCGGATGAGGAAGAGAACACATGAACTCTAAAATCGTCATCATTTTCAACCTCTGTCACAACCCAATAAAGAAACTAAGTGAAAAGATATAAAAGAAGAATAACAGCATTACATTACACTAAATTAATTCAACTGAAAAGGCTAAACTGCTAAAGTACCAAAAATGTTTAAATTTTTCAATGTGATCACATAAACAAAAGACAACCCAGAAACTCAAAAAGCTCACCAGGGGCCTTCCAAGGCACAGTGGGATTCACCATGTTGAAAGGAAACACTCAAAAGCAGTAATCAAACTGTGTGTGTGTTGGAAACCACTACGTGAATATATTGGAACTGGAGCACTGATAAGAACGGTGGTTGTCACAAAAAAACATTAATGCATCACTTCCTTTTCCAAGTGATGCATTTTTTTAAGATTTTTTTTTCTCACTTTTTATTAAAGTTATTAACTTTCTGTATTTCTGAAACGGAATCCTTGAACCATCTTAAAGGAAGGAGTAACTAACAACAAGAACACGATAACATGAGAAAGAGCCATTTGAATTATTGTTTGTTTGGTTTGTTGGATGTTTCAGACGGATTAAACTCTAATGCTGTTGTTTTTGGTTGATTGCTTGTTGGAGTATTTGTCTCATCAAACACATTGATGATGGTGACATCTATAATCAATGAAACGAAATCATTGATAATGGACTTGAGAAAAAAAAACACATTCTTGCTCACAAAAGAATCTTTCCATACCTTATCTTTCCCATTCAGCATACCTTATCTTTCCCATTCAGCATTCACTGAATCACCTTTTTTTTACTAACTTCTTTTTGTCTCTGTTCAAATTAAATAATTAAATAAGATCATGACAAAATGATTTGATCAGAATTTTAAAAGATTTTATTAATGAAAAAGTCCTGCAAAATTCCATCAAAAAAATCAAAAGGTATATATAAATCTTGTGATATTTTTTATAAGAATAATGAAATCCGATTTATTTAATTAATATTTTTTATAACTTGGAAAAAATACATTAATATTTAAAAGTACGTAAAATTTGATACATTTTTCGTCACTTTGCAGTACGATATGTAGATACAACATTCATTAAATAAACTTACCCAAATTCTTGAGAGTTTTCCAAACTTTTTTTTTCTTTTTTTATTAATTGGAAGATTTGTTTTTCTCCCTTGAAACAAATAATCTCTTCTCTATTTGCTGAACGTAGTGTTATTGATATTCATTCTCAGTAGTTGATCATTTGTGGGTTAAATATGTTTTGTCCCTTAACTATCAAGCGATTTTGTTTTTCGTCCTTATTTCAAACTTTGTACGATTTAATCCTTCTCCTTAAAGAAATCATAATTTTTGGTCCTCCAAAATAAACGGCGTTAAAAATCAGGTGATGTGAATAACGGTGCTGTGCCACGTGATATTTTCATGCTTCTCTCCTCTCGACCTCTTTGATATTCAGCCGCTCAACACTCCAGAGCGTCCCTCTGAACATATGCTTCTCTCCCTCCTTACCGACACTGTCTCTTTCCTTACATCTTCGTCACCGTCCACCGCCGCAACCTCCATCCCCATCCCCAACCGCCGGATTCCACGTCAAAGATCACTCTTCGCGGTTCTTCCTTAAATAATAGGAACCTCAATAGTAGATAAAAGTATAGTTTTTAGTTTTGATAAAATTTCTATCCATCTAGAACAATAATAGTTTTTAGTCAGATTGGGTCAGCTATTATCTTGTAGAGGCGAAAATTTTGAGAAGGGGAGAGAGCACTGGAATGAAGCTACATCAATGAGCATCATTCTTCAATGTTCCGAAGATGTTTTGGATCCTTCAATAACGGAAGTTTACAAACCTAAGAAGAGGAAGAGTTAAATAAGTTTACTTCAAAAGATTACATTAAGATTAATGTTTACTGTTTTGGAGAAACCCCACATTTATTTACCACTGGTTCATCTGCCCTTTTTCCAGCCATACCCACTCTTCTCTGGCCAAGACCCTCCACATTATGGCTGTTCAGGTTGGATTTTACAGCAGCTTCTTGAAAACTCCTCCTCCCTCTGTTCTATTAGAAGTGATAATGAGATGCCCAAGTGTGATCTGTCTTGTTTAATAAAATATTGGGTGGAAACTAAGACTTCCATTACAGAGACATCCGGATAGAACCCAATTACATATCAGAATCACTAACAAGACAAAAGAAGACAATAATTACTTGATGAATTTTCTCCCCCTTACCTTTCCAACTTTTCTTTCAATTTGTTTATGTTTCTATAGATTCTTCCTCTTTCCCTGCCACACAGGCAAGGTAACCCCAAATCCCTTTTCCGCCCTTTCCTCATAATGACAAATATACAGGAATGCCAAACACATTTATTATATTGGAAATTTATTCAACAAGGAAAAGGCATCATTGACCTTAGTATAACCATCAGCAAGTAATATTCATTCGTGGTATATGTTTTTCTTTTTCTTGGAGGGAGGAGAGATATTTTTCCTGGTCTTCAAAGGGTCTATAAGGAAGCTTGATGTTTAGATCTTCGCTGGACGGTGACGAAGATGTAAGGAAAGAGATAGTGTCGATGAGGAGGGAGAGAAGCAGATGTTCAAAGGGAGCGCTCTGGACGAGTGTTTAAGCATTTTGAGTGTTGAGCGGCTGAATATCAAAGAGGTCGAGCAGAGAAGCATGAAAATATCACGTGGCAGAGCACCGTTATCCACCTCACCTGATTTTTAACGTCATTTATTTTGGAGGACTAAAAATTATGATTTCCTTAAGGAGAGGGATTAAATCGTACAAAGTTTGAAATAGAGACGGAAAACAAAATCGCTTGATAGTTAAGGGAATAAAAACATATCTAACCCATCATTTTTAAGCAAAGAGTAAGACATTTCTTAACAATGAAGGGTTGGAGTCAGCTGTTATATATTTTATCAATTATTACTCACATCCATTAACTTATAATTAAACAACCAAATTCCATGTAAATCTAAACTTAATTTAATCATATACACATCTTAAATATATAATTAAATTAAATTAAATTTGATTATAATCTCTTATAAAATGTTACACCTAAAATTGTTCAATTTCTCATCTTTGTTCTGTTGCAGGCATGATGTGAGCCACAAACCCTATAACCTATTTTTCTTAATTTATTGTGCGAATCATTTGGTTAGGTCAACAACTATTGTCTTGTGGCTATAAAAAAATTAAAATATTGTGTTATTACAAATTTTTCATTTTAGAATGACCAGCTTAAAAGTGAAAAATATAAAGAAAATTATATTTTCAGGCATATCAAACAAGATTCCCATTTATTCAAGTTTTATAAATGATAAAAGATAAATTATAAACAACGGGCCTCAGTTTCTGTTTGTTCTTTTGGTCTTTACCGCCTTTTCGGTTTATGTACTCAATATAACCATAATAATTTTGAAAATTATAATTGTCATAATTTTCTGTTCATTCTCATGGCATATTACTTCTTTCTATTAATTGTTTTCTCCACAGTCAAAACTCTTTTATTTTTAGTTGAGTTCTTGCACTCTAATTTTTTTCGTTAATTTAGTGACGTCAATATTTCTTTTTCATATAATTTTACTTACTTATTTTAACATGATTAATATAAAAGTTATATAAATATTAAAATTAATGGTGTTATCCTTAAGCTTGTCCTCATCAATTTCAGCTTGCACCTTTCACTGGAATTTTTTGTCCTTTTATTAAACTTGTGCAAGATCATGGTTTAATGATGTTGGTTTAATTCCAACAACCAGTAATAAATGGTTCCTTCTATAAACCCTACACTTCTTCGTTGGTCATTGCTTGTGCTTGTTCTTGTTCTTTGTTTTTTGTGTGAGAGCTTGGTGCGTGAGCTTCTAAAGTTGCGTTTTGGTAGTGGTCTTGGAGTGTTGGCACTGGTCTCGAATGTTGGTGGTGGTTGTGTTGATGCTATGGTTCATCGAAGGAGAAAGGTAATGAAGCTGACATTTGAGGTAAGAAGTTGAGATTGTGGAACATCCTTAACCGGTGTTTGAAATTCGGTTAAGTACACACACCATCGTTCAAACATTGGTCAAGGATCATGTACTTCAAAGTATCACCGAACCTTAACCAGCATTCTAACATCAACAAACTCTTAACTGCATTTTGAACGCCAGTTAAGGGTCCATCGTATTTTGAATGTGAATTAAAATTATGTTGTAGTTCGAAATAAGGTGACCATTTTATTATTATTATTTTTAGTTTTACTTTATATATTTTGTTTATGTTATTAATTTTTCACAATTTTTTTTGCTACTTAGTTTTTTTCTAATATATGTCTTTGCTTTATTTATTTACTTTATTCTCTTTTAATATTTTTTCATATAAATAATAATGTTTGATTCTCACTCTTAATCTTAAGTGTGTAGTGTGTAAATCCTTCAATTACTATATAATATAGAAAAAATTATCTTTTTTTATTAGTTTTAATTCTTGATTTGTATTTTTAACTTTTCTTTAGTTAAAATAATTTTCATTCTTTATCAACAATTTAACTAGTTCAATATTTAAAAAGTTTTCGGATCTCCAAAGGCACTTTCCATTTCATCATGAATTTAATTATAATTTTCTCTTTTTTTTATGCAATTTCATTTAATGGTGTATCAAATCGATTTTGTGATATACATTTGATCATTAAAAAAATTATTTTTATTTTTTGTTTATTATTATTATGTAAAATACTATTTTGATGATTTTTAATATAATTATTTTTATTTCATATCTTATTTTCATAACTGTAATTTTATCACTTAAAGTATATAAAGATGTATTATTTATTATAATATAATAATATGATGATATTATTGTCATAAATTTTGTCTACCACCTTCCAACATATTAAGATGATCTATCTACGTATAAATTTAAATTATTATTATTTTAATCTTTCTTCTCTCAGCAATATCATATATGTTTTTTAAATTTTATTTATGTGTAATTATGTAATATTTTATATAATTATTTCACTTTAATCCAATTGTTACTTGATATTTGATTTGAAATTTATATAATTATAAATTCTTTCGAAACATTTGACATTGAAGAAATAATAGTATATTTTTTTAATATTAAATATTTTATAATATCATTTCTCACTATTTTGATTTTTTTTATAAAAACTAATTAAGTGATATTGAAATCATAAGAAAATATATTTAAGCACGAGTATAGATATATTCTTGGTAGAAATGAAGATAAGACAAAGTTATTATATCTACATTTGTTATCTTTTACATAGAAGCAATCAAATACTATAAAGAACTCCTTATCTAACACAATTTTAATAAGAGTGTTAGAAAACTAACTGAAATATTTTATTCATTCATTAACACTAACAAGATTTTGGTATTCTATATATATATATATATATATATATATATATATATATATATATATATATATATATATATATATGTGTGTGTCTATATGTGTATATATGTATGTGTATATATGTATGTGTATATATATATGATTTGATTATGTAATCAATCATGAAATGAATATAACTTTGTCAGGATGAGCTTACTTTCTTCAACATCACGGGATGACTCGCACTTTTTGATGTCAGGATATTTGAGAACCTTCAAGATCAAACAGCAATGTCAGGAACTTCATCCAGTGTTTCAAGTGAAAAAAAGGCAACTACTCTACACACCAGA